GTTTTCATTCGCACGGATTAAAACTCGGGCGAATGTACCGTTTTTCGTTGTATGTACCTCAATACATCTATTCAAATGAATTTGTATAGTTTTCTATTTAGGAAATTTTAAGCATGAGCTCTTTTCACCAAGATAAAAATGGTTATTTATTTATTTTCTTCAAAAGTTTTGCTCGAGTAAAATAATTAAAATAATTTATAATCGGTTTTCAACATAATCATGCATGCCTGCAAGCATGATCCATTGCAAACTGCAAAAGACTCTTGATTTAAATGAAAAGTAATACATATCTTACATTATGAGTCACCCTTAAATTATAATAGAAGGTACTCAATATAAAAGGAAGGAAAAATAAAAAATCTAGGCTGCTAGGCTGCTAGGCTGCTAATTTCACAAATTTCGAAGCGTAAAAAAAAACACCAAAAAAACCCAAACAACAAACAACAAAGTTCGATATTTAAAAAAAATAAAAATCGCAATACTGAAGTAAGACGTGGAATGGTCTAAGTATGTGCTCCCGATTCATTTCTGACGTTTTCATGTTTGTATTATCCTTTGATTTCTTGAGGCTGCTAGGCTGCCAGACCGCTAGGCTGTTAGGCTGCTAGACTGCTAACTTCAGAAATTTCGAAGTGTCAGGAAAATAATAATTCAATATTAAAAAGATAAAGATCGCGATACTGAAATAAGACGTGGAATGGTCTAAGTATGTGCTACCGATTCATTTCTGACGGTTTTCATGTTTGTATTATCCTTAGTTTCCTTGAGGCTGCTAGGCTGCCAGGCCGCTAGGCTGCTAGACTGCTAACTTCACAAATTTCGAAGTGTCAAGAAAAAAAATCAATATTAAAGAAAATAAACATCGCGATACTGAAATAAGACGTGGAATGGTCTAAGTATGTGCTACCGATTCATTTCTGATGTTTTTCATGTTTGTATTATCCTTAGTTTTCTTGAGGCTGCTAGGCTGCCAGGCTGCTAGGCTGCTAGACTGGTAACTTCACAAATTTCGAAACGTCAAAATAAAAACAAAACAAAGTTCAATATTTAAAAAGAATTAAGATCGCCATACTGAAATATGACGTGGAATGGTCTAAGTATGCGCTACCGATTCATTTCCGAGTACTATCCTGCTAGGCTGCTAACTTCACAAATTTCGAAGCGTCAGAATGAAAAAATTATGTTAAGATAAAGTTCAAAATCTTAAAAAAAAAAAGATCACGATATTGAAAAAAGGCGTGGAATGATCTAAAGAAATGCTACTAATGAATTTCCGACTATAGTCATGTTTGTACTATTCTTAGTTTTCTTTAGGCTGCTAGGCTGCCAGACTGCCAACTTCAGGATGCTAGGCTGCCAATTTCAGACTGCTAGGCTGCTAGGCTGCCAACTTTACGAACATCTTATGCATAAAACAATTTTTTTCAGGAATGAGTGACTTTAAAGAGGAATACCCACTGTTTACATTTAAAGTTTTCTCAGCTACACACAGTTGACACATACTACGGGCGTATTTTTAAAATGTAAATAACAAAGTAAAAGTGATCTTAGAGAGTAAGGAAATATATTATTTCAACAAGAAATTTAGATGTTATTCTCTTTATGATGAATTCAAATATTTGTAATCTTAAATCTTGATACCAGAAGTTTATTAAAAAAACTGATTACTTTAAAGATAATAGTTAACCAATTTAGTTGAAAAAACAATTCAGATAGGTTTGTCCGACCGAGGTCACTGACTTCAAAGCACCTGCCCTGAACTGCTTTGGATTCGAAAAGAACCTGGGACATTTGATTCTTCCGTGTGGAAAACCTAACGAGCTAGCTTCAAAACGTCAATTGTTCCTTGCAGGTGCAACATTTTGTCTGAAATAATACACAAAGGCGCACCTGAGGTCGTGCCTCCAGTAAAACTAGAGTGTAGAATGCAAGCACATAAATATCATTCATTACCTAGAACATGTAAAACTACAGTTTACTATGAGCTTAACTAGCCAAATTGAATTTTGTGACTCGAGTTTATAGACTTATATATTAATCCCAAAAATATAGGGATGACATTGAACATAAAATATAATATAAGAGAATATTTCAGATATTATGATTAATTAATTAACATGTTTATCTGGAAAGTTACTTCAGCAATGTCAAAATAAATGCTATATTGGAATGAAACAACGTATTTTTAAACATTAAAAAGCAAGAGAACTTTGCTAGATACCGTGAATAATAAGTTTTTATCAAGCGCAAGTACTTATACGGTAAAATAGATTTATATTGGCAAAATTATTCCTGTTGAAAAGATTGCCAAAAATACAACTGCGTCGTATCATATTTTCTTTTCAACTGCGTCATATCATTTCGTACAAATCATTATTTTCTTTCAAAATAAACAAATCTTTTTAATGAAATTTTAGTAAATGATGTAAAATTATATTTTGAAGTTCATGGTTAACTCTGAAACGAGTATACAATTGATTTGAATGAAAAAACGATGAATAAAGCAAAATGAACTGAGTCGTATCCACAAAACCCCATACAAACATTCTGGTTGCTTCGAGTTTCAAGTTCGCTATAACTTTTAATTGACAAAATAGTTGTACAAGCAACATGTACTGAAATAAAGCGTGTTCATAGATATATCTGGTTTTCAGCCATTTCCAACAAACAGAGTAATGAACAAAAATGTACCTTTTTCGTTCCAAGATGGCGGCGTTTGTTTACATTATGGAGGATTCGACTTAGTTTTGATTCTCGGCACTGATAAAGTAGCTGAGTAGCGTGCTCATTTGAAAGTGACAATTAACTAACGTCTCTGTAAGAATTCATAGTAACAGCAAATGCTATGCAAACTCAGATATGGGGTATCCACTTATTCAAGATGTTTACCGCTAATTAGATATTTACAAAACATCTTTGCTTAATTATCGCTACTGAAAATATATATGTAATAATATCATAATTTATTTTAATGCATTTACTCTTTGATCCCACAGACACCAGTATAATTGCAAGTATTAAGTATTAACTAAATAATCATTAAGTATTGACTGTAATGCATGTGGTGTTTCTGCAAAAAATGACGCCTTATCAGCAAAAAGCAATAAATATAATTTGACGTCATCTATAGAACAGATGCCGTCTATGTTACTATTTTTATTCAAAAGAATGTCATTTACGAAAAATAAGAACATCAGATCTCCCTATTTAACTCCAATGTTTGACGTGAAAAAAGATGAGCTTTCTGATTTATATCTAACGCATGCTTTCACTGTATTATATGTAGCTCTTAAATAACTAACAAATCAGGAGCTTACATTTTCTGTTATTTGTTCATGAAATAAATGAGATATCGTAATTTTATCAAAGTAGTTTTCGAAATCTATAAAACAACAATATAAGTTTTTCTTTAACGACAAAGTTTTAGCTATAATTGAATGTAAAATATAGATGCAATCAATTGTTAATATACCTGCCTGAAAGCCAAATTGATTTTCAATTATTGTTTCGTTTGTTTGAGTCAAGTTCGTCAAACGGTTTAACAGAATTTCAGAGTAGAGTTTTGATATAATATTAATTAGAGTTATATATAAAACGCAAAAGAATGAAGTAATCTTTGTAAAGAATTTCAATATATTTGGTTAAAAATAGTAAAAGCGTTCAATAGTGATATTAATTGTATCTACATGCACTTTCTTTTATCTTTCTTTGTATAGAACAGATCATCTTTCTTCGTAGAATTTGTACATTTAATCTTAAATTCTTGTTTCACTTCCTGTTACTACGAGTATACGAATTTTTTGATATAATATTTAAACACATACACACGCACACTATAAATCGTTTTATACCCATGTAAGATATGAATTTTGTAACTGAACTAAAGTTTAACTGAACATTCCCATATACAAACTACTAAATAATGTAAATAATGTCAAGCTCGTAGAAATTCAGCGTATTATGCCATTGATGAAAAAGACTGAAACTCTTCTGCAATCGATCATGAGGCGTGCGCTTCGAGGAGAAGGTATAAGGCAGGTCAAGTCATCCTAAATACGAGGGATGGTTGGTTGACGGGTCGAGACTAATTCGGGTGAGTGAGATCCTACAGTAACGCTGCTACGGAACACGAACGCCTTTGGTTTGTTTTCGTATCCCTTTAAGGACTGTTGACAGAATAACATAAAAAGACGTCTCAGATGCGGCTACAATAGCACAATGAACACTTTCCTTTAACTCGCCGGTTTGTAAATTAGTAGGAAACACGGTACAAAAGCAAGGGGCAGGACGTAAAGTGATTTTCTTCGGGTAAGTGGGTTTGTATTAATTTGTTTTCAAAATAACCTACAAACCCACTTACCTGGAGAAAAAACGCGCGAATGTTGTGAATATTGTTGAGTCGGTAGCCATTTTTTCAAGTTAGTCACCAAATTTCTCGCTTAAACCAAGTATGCAACCACTTCACGTCCTGCCCCTTGAAAAGGCCGGACAGATTTTATTGCGTGTTTTATGAAACACTTAAACCAATAGCGTTACAAATAAGTTAATTTGAATAAGGTTATTTTGTTACAGATGCTTTTAAATGTTTCATTGCTTGACTTTTCAAACAGTGTGAAATAGTTTTGATTAGTTAATGATGATGATTCTGATAATATAGGTGCTTAAATTATGAACCTTGTCACAAATGACGTGGGTAATGATAAGAAACATTTATTTGTGATAGATACATTTAGAAATAAAAAGTAATAAAAGAGCATTTAATAATGAAAATTCTAAGTTCAAGGGGGGTAATTCATAAGTTTTGGTGATAGAGTTGTAAACCTTGTTACATGAAGTCCCCTCCGATTAAACTAAAACGAATCTTATTACAAATTTGATGTCTGTCCCTAAATATATTCAATGGTGTAATTTTACTTCCTAATCGACCAGCTTTGTCAAATAACATTTTGACATACAATTATATCTTGTTACCTGATTTTTTGAATGCAATATTATTTAAACTTCCTCTTTCGATTTTCAGTTTGTTTTGTTAAAGATCTATTAATTATCTAACCAATGTTATAGGTTATAGATTATTTTGTCAAAGCTTAAATGATTTCCAAAGTGTTTAAAAATGTGTCTCCTGATACGGTAAAAATATTACTTATAGTGCTGACAGTTGTGCTTTGTTTACTTGGATCATTATCTGTTTTAGTTGTAAAATTTCTAATCGAGGAGGAGGCAGCGTTTAGAGAAGTCAATCATTTATCCAACTGTTCGGTATTTTGCGAGGATTTGTCGCTCAGTCCGTACGAAGATTACGAAACCTTTAACGTAAGAAATAAACAAATTCAGACCTCTCTTCACAACGATAGATACGTTTGCAGTACCAAGAATATTACCAAGATCATTAGTCAGGTATTGCATATTATTATTATTATATTTTTCAAAAACGGAATAAATGCAACTCTTCCAAGTGACTATATCGCAACATCTATAATTTTTTAATTCATGTTTACATTTACTGAATGTAAAATAAATCACAAAAACATTTTTTTCTTATGTATTCTTTAGTTTTGATTGTTAGTTTATTTTGTTGTTGCTTTCCCCGCTTATTATTATTATTATTTCTACATCTGTATTACAGGTAATGTTTTTCCTTTTTGATATTGTATTTTTATAACATAATATAAGGAGTTTTTATTTCCCAGAAGAATATTTCAAATTCATATCAAGTTTAAAAAAAAACTTGACGTGACAAATTATCTTTATCAAATTCTTAGAAAAACAGTATTTTACTTCCGGAGGAAGAAATTAATTTATGAGTGAATTTATCTCTGTCTTTTTGTTGTAACTTGAATGAAATCCGCTCTTTTGTGTTTTAAGCTACTAGATTATTACAAATATCTTAGTTGAACAGTTTATATATTTATGTAAAGCGATCTTATTTAAACAATTTTGTATGAATTTACTTCCGTGTTAGTTAAATGTTTCAACACACCATAGATAGATTAATATTAAAAAAAACTTAACTAATACAATGATCGATCGTAAGCTAAATCCGGCGTATTACGTGATTAGAAAGGCGGCTAATGTTTTGCCATTTCGTGTCTTCGAGTCTTCGCCCCTCATAAGCGGAAGCCGAAGACACGAAGACACGATTATATGCTCACTTATCGAGTCTTTGCATTGGAATTTTGAGGGTGCCCATACGAAGGTACGATGCATTTAAGGTTAAAAACAATCATATTTTAAGAGTCGAAGAATCTTCATATCGGAGCCCTGTATTTGTCGTGTTGTCCTGTCTTCGCTTAAAAGGCGAACACAATATAATTGGCATATTTATCGAGTCTGCGTGTCCTCGATTGTTTTCCCTAATTATAACGACACTACATTGAAAAGTGTTTTATGTCGTCGTGTGTTTCGCCTTCCGGTGAACATGCACAAAACAATTACAAATGCCGACTTGGAGTAGATATAATGTGAACATAGCCTTTTTGCGAAATGAACTTTTCACCTACTAAATAAATATTTAATTTCACAATTATTAAAAGGTATTTTACAAAAAAATAGCGATAAAGTACGATATTTTTTACATATTATTTTTCTTCTACCAGAAGGCGAAACATTGTTCAATATCGTATGGCTGAAGTCTTGGTAACTTGGTAATCAGGTAAATCCACATATCTAAGCAATGACTAAACTAATCCATTACTATACAACCAGTTTGAAAAAGAACCAGTGTGAAAAAGTTTTGATTGGTTTTAAAATATATCAATTTCTATATTTTATGATATTTTCATTTGTAGATTGTTGAACGAACAGGAAGGCTTAGATTGTCCAAAGGTACATATCTGACTAATTACATAGTTTTCTAACTATCAAAGTTGAATATGACGATAACATATACATGTGTGTATGTCTGTAACAAGGTCCATGAAGTTTTAGTGGATCAGTCTATATATTTATCGTTAAAAGCGTATATTTAATCATTACGTGGTCACATAAATTGAAATCGCTGTAAAAGTAAACAGAAAACATAAACAATGGTCGCATTTATATGGGAAATGTAGAAACATATTAAAGGGTCTTCATTATGTAAGAAAGACCAGCATTATGTGGATGTCAGATTAACACAGAAGAAAACTGCAAACATATACCAGTATATTTTTTGTATCTTGTATCTTTGCTTATGCTTTTACGAAAGAGTCATCTAAAAAGAGTTACATGTTTAAATATATAAATCTGTGTTATAAATGATGTAGAAATCAAATGTCTCTGAAATCTCAAAAAGCTGATTTTGTTCCTGCAGGTGAAGTTTCAAAGCAATATTTGCAATGTGGGAACGAAAATCTCAGAGAAAAATCGAACAGTCAGGTTGCTTCGTTTCGAAGGATAGATCATCATCGACAATTCAAAAGTAAACATTTTTAAATTAAGAGACATTGTAAGATTATAAGTTATTATTTTATGCTTTTCAGTGGATTACTGATTTATCCGTGAAAATTATATTCGATAATTTCACAGTGAAAATTATCAAAATATAATTTCACACTTTTCAATGACGAAACTACTTTTTTGAGATTTTCCCCATGTGGTACCTCAATTTTATTTTTGCTGACAATTCTGACAATGTCAGGCTGTTTAAAGAAAAGCAAAGCTGAAATTGATAAATAACTTAAATGTCAAAAGTAATAAAAAGAAGAAAACTTACTTCTATTCATTCAAATTCCAATCACAAAATTTCGTCTCTAAATTTTTTTGTTTAATTTTTACAGTCTGAAAAATACATTCCTTCCACATGCAGATTGCTCTTGTTGACATTTGGGCATATTAAAGTATCCTACGAGCAATAACTGCCGTATGCTTTATGAAAAATTGAAAAGCATAGACAGCTATCAGCTCGTAGAACAAGTAAACCACCCAGCGAGCGTTCCGAGCAAGTTCCAAGTTTTCCATTTTCATAGCTGTATTTTTTAATGTTTTCACATCTGTCAACACTTATTTTTTGTCTGTTTCAATCCTCAAATATGTTTTCTTTCTTTTAAAAAGGTGTATGACTAACAAATCCAAATGATATCCCTCTGAATCAAACACAATAATTTTCCTCCCGTGAAATACACAACTTTAAAAAATGGCTGCCGCTTACATTTAACAAAGCCAGGTCTAATATAAATTCGCAGTAAGTAACAGAAATATGGATGGATGGTTGGACTTTTTCTCCTACAAGAATTGTTTGTTTTTATTATTAAAACAAGCGATCATTCATATTTTTTTAACAAAATAAATAATATCACTGTCATTTAATGTTGATTGTCGGATTAATTTTTCAGCTCAAGACTTCTTGTTTTTAATGAGAAATTCCGACTAAATGGGGCTCTCAATGGGGAAAACAGATTTTAATATTTACGTTAATATTATGGAAATTTCGTTTTAACTTGTTTTTGAGCATAAAATAAAAAGAAAATTTGTTTGTTTGTTGTGTAAGATGTAATTTTATTTCATCTCGTGAACTTTAAAAACAGTATTCTCACTCGTGGCTACGCCACTCGTGAGAATACTGTTTTTAAAGCCCACTCGATGAAATAAAATTTCATCTTACACACAAACAAACAAATATCCTCTATTAATTTCTACTATTTGAAATGGTATTTATAACATTCAGACTTGTATTATGTAATAATCATGCGAGAGATATGTTAAAGAATAAGAATCTAAGCCAGCATGCATGGTGTCAATCAACATTACTAAATTATCTCGCTATTTCATCCATTTAAGAGGTTGCAAAACTCTATTGCAATTTGAAATACTTGTACGTACAATTTAGATAAAGAAATAGATACAATGGTCCTTTTTGCAGACATTTTATTGATTTTATTCTAATGTAAAATGTGTATTTTAAAAGCAGGCGAGAAAGATCAAGTTATATATTGGCACAAGCACGCAGTCAGCACCTTCATATCAGAAGAACTACATTACCACAATGGCGAATTAAAAGTACCAGAAACACGTGTTTATTTTGTTTACACGTCGGTATTAATAAACGGAAGTTGCGCAGACAATCGTCGCGGAGATGTTTGCAACTACTATGTACGGATTTGTGCCAGAGGCCGATGGAGCGAGCGAATTCTTCTTCAGAAAATGGGAGTTTACAACTCAACAGACGAGAGTTTTATAACTTCTCTACATATCGGTACTCATGTCTTACTCCAAAGACATGACGCTGTTTTTGTAAGAATATCTGACGCAAGCCGATTGATTCCGGAATCTGCCGGAAATGTATTTGGAATTATGCCAATGCGATAGCTGAACTTATTTATCATTAACAATCAATCAGACATAATCATCTAAAATACAGCAAAAGATATTATTTCATTTAACATGTCACTCGAGCGAAATTAAATAAAATCTTCATTTACAAAAAGTTTTTTTCTTAATAATAATGTAACGAGAATCATTTATATTACGACTGTTAACATGTAAATAAAATCTTTATAATCTTTGTTATACTTTACCTTTAAATAAGTATTTAAATCATTCGGAATGCTTCTATTTCTGTGTGTGTGACTGCGTGCATGCGTACGTTCGTGTGTGTGTGTGTGTGTGTGTGTTTGGCAAGTTAGACAAACATGATTGTGTCAAATTCATCTATTGATATCTAAATCTGTATTACAAAAGAATATGTCTAGCAAATCAAAGCACGTGTAATTGACTTCTTCAAAGACTTTAAACTATCATTTCAACATTTCATTGTGTTTGAATGTCGTTTTGGAAATTAACCATAATAAATCTTTGACACAAACTTTGAAGATAAAAAGCCGTTACACTTTGTTTTTGGGCAAATACACTGAGTGGTTTACAAGGAGATGCTATTTAATATATTATAGATTACGACGAACGACGGACACCTTGTCATCACAATGGTCACCTCTTAGCGATATGTGATGAGGTCAGCTATAAACTCAACACTGAAAAGCATTAAAACAAACATGCTTTAACATATCTTCGTATGAGAGTTGTGGTAACGTCTAAATACATACATGGCTTTTAGCCTTGGCATTTCCATAGTATTCTTAATGTAAGGTATGAATACACTGGAATATTGAAGACTCGAGGAGTCTGCGCTGAAAATATTTTCGATCTGAAAGGTAATTTTTAGCTATAGAAACAAAAAAAAGTCACAATGGGCAAGGTAAGGTGAATAGGAGGCTGGGGAGCACAGTCACATTTTCTGCTTAAAACAATCTTGTGTCATGACGGGTTGCCATGCAGCAATCTGACACAGACCAAACCTGTTGCGGATCTTCATTTTTAAAGTATTTGTTAAGTGTCAGAAGAAATTTTGTCTTGTAAATTTCGCATGTACAGATTCGCCTTTAGAAACAGTGACTTGAATGGCGGGAACCTGAGTTGTGAAAAAAATGGCTTACATTATCTTTTTATAATGAAAATCTTTTTTGCAATGCATTGCCAGAATGTGTAACTTAAATCTTGTTTTGATGTTTTTGTTTTTGCTCATAAAAATGAATCCATGTTTCGTCACCAGTGACAACATTTATAAGGGACAGTGCATTGTAATTTGGAACTTTTCTTATTTATCTGCCAGCAAATGGGAAATCCATTAAGCATAAATTTTGTCATTTTCAAATCTCGTTTGAGAGTTGTATAAGCTGCTCCTTATCATATGCCAACAAAACTAGCAATTTGCCTTGCGATGTATCTTGCATCAGAAATAACAATATCTTTCAATTAACAACCATCTTGATAGACATTGCTGTTTTATGTCGACGGTCAAGTGGTGCATCTTCAGTTGAAATTAATTCACATTTTAAATAATTTAAACCAACGAATAACTTAAAATGAACATTTCATTTTGTCTGTATATAGAATAGATTTCATAAAAAATGTTGATAGACGTTGCTGTTTAGGCCGACGGGGATGAGATGCATCTTCAGCGAAATTATATATCAAGAAAAAATTGATCCATCGGAAACATTAAAATCAGCAAATTTACATGAACATTGCAGACTCGGTTTGATTGAGTCTGTAAATGAAGTATACTGAAAAGGTGCAATATTCCTCAAGACACCTAGTACCGACTTGAGCGGTTGTCAAGTTTTAACACTTGATGTGCTTGAATCAAGAAGGATCAGAAAAATATATCAATATTGAAGTGAAGTACAACTTCTAACGACTGTGACATGGTACTTGACACCTGCTGTTGTGATGTATAATTTTCTGGGAAAAGGTAATCCCTTACAAAAATCAAAATCAGCAAAATTACATTCAAATTGATTTAGTCTGTACATGAGGGATAATGAAAACGTTTAACAGTAAGGAAGCTGAGATGTCGGTGACATTCTTATTGTAGTAAGAATATATATAACAAGAATTTGTACCACAGTTACCAACGTCCCCCGCCTCGGGAAGTTTCATATGAAGCATAAAAAAAAAAATTGTGCTATTTCAAAAAATTGAGGTATGGATCTCAAGACTTTCAGTTATGATTAATGCTAGATCTGCAAATGCAACAATAATTTTTTTAAAGAAATAAAATGAAACACGGAATTTAAAAATCTATCATGTTAAGCTTTGACCTCTAAGAGTGACCTTGACTTTGGAGGTAGGGGTGCAGGTGTTGCGCATGACATATCATCTTATTATTGTAACTATTTGTGTCTAGTATTTTCAAAATCCCTTGAACTATGAAGAAGTTATAGATCAGACACAAAATATACCCTGTAACAGACTATGTTAATCTTTAACCTTTAAGTGTGACCTTGGAGGTAGGGACCTATGTTTTGCGCCTGACATATCGTCTTATCATTGTTATCATTTGAGCAAAGGCTTGAAATGGCTTCAACAAGGTAAACCACGAGGAAGAGATAATATGTTTTTTACAAATTACAAAGCGGCAAAACGCATATTCATAAATGCTCAGAAAAACGCTATTTCGGATGTTAAAAAAATACTATGATGACCTAAATGAAACTGCTGAATGTGATATGAGGCTCTTTTGGAGTTTAATTTAACGCAGAAAACGATCTAATCTAGTTAATGAGATCTCTCATGGAGACCATCTTACTCGAGAACCTGCTGAAATTGCGCAAACTTTCAGAGACTATTACGCCAATGTATTCACCGAGAAAAATAATGAACGCTTTGACAATGATTTTTAAATGATCTTGATGAATGTGTTAGCATTTTGAAGAAAGCGATGACTATTCAGAAGATGACACTTTAACAAATGAATTACCATGAACGAGCTGAAAGACTGTTTTCGTGATATGAAATGTAGAAAAGCGCCCGGTCTTGACTCTATTACAACCGAGCACATCATTCATGGAGGTGAAACATTAGCTTCATACTTGTTAAAACTTTTCAACATAAAGCTTGAATGTAATTATATTCCTGGAGCATGCAAATCTGGAGTAATAATTCCAATACATAAGGAGGGGAAACTTAGAACAGAACCAAAAAGTTATCGACCAATAACCCTTCTGCGAGTTATTTATAAACTATTTAAACGAGTGCTTCATCATCGCCTAACAACATGGACAGCCTCAAAGCAGCTAAAATTTCCGAGCGCACAACAAAATGCAATGCGTATCAAAAACATTTAGGACCAGTAACCGCATCTTTCAATCTACAAGAAGCTGTACTATCATACACAGAGAGTAACTCTAGTGTGTATGCCGCTTTCCTAGATACTGCAGGTGCTTTTGACAATGTGAGTCATAGTGTCATTATCATGAAAATGCATAATTTAGGAATCAAAGGTAAATTTCTGCGACTCATAATTAACAGTTATAAAGATATATTTGGCTGCGTCACTGTTAATGGCGTTACGTCAGATATATTCCCAGTTTTGCAGGGCATTCAACATGGCGGAATAATCTCTTCTTGGAGCTACCTACTCTTTATTGATGAACTTTAACAAAATCTTGAAACTTGCAAACATTGAATTATAACCGGTAATATTGCATATGGCAATCCAACGCTTTCCGATGATTTGACACTGTTAAGTCCGTCGTTAACATCACTAGAAAATCAGCTTGCTATTGTTAAGACATACGCAAATACATGGGGATAGGAATTTAACTATAGCAAATGTTGTGTATTGAAGTTTGGCGGAAAAATTTCTGACAATATATTTCAAGCAAACTTTGGTCACGTGATACCGTAGTACATGTTGGAATTAAACTCAATAAGACATTAAGTGTAACAGATACAATCGATCAACGTATACATAAAGGGCAATCGTCTCTTTTTTCAATATTATATCTAGAAAACAATGTTGGTGATATAAATCCAACATCTCCTACTATACAGTCAACTAGAACAGACATGGCTTGAAGCACACTAGGATGGTTTACTATTGAAGCAGACATAGATAGACCAGAGAAAGCTAACTTTCATACTAAAAAATAGTTCACTATACCAACACACTATCTGTCAAGAAAACTATTTAATTACAAACTAAACTTATTTGTTATGAAAGGTTATTGTAATCAACGCGGCTTTGTTCCAGAAATATACAGACTATTGTTCAAATACGGATTATTAAATTTCATTTCTGACTCGATGAAACATGCCCATTTTCCATGCAAATACTCGTGAAAAAAATACTATTAAAAAGGCAATAACACATACACAAAACAACATGTGGCAACAAAGAATTAACAGTGACAGAGATTTTGACAGATTTAAAGCAGTTCATCAATCAGTAACGCCTTTACATTTATGGCTGTTTTCAAATACAAACCATGAGATTAAACATGCTATAAGTGCAACGAAAATACTTCTATATCGACAGTTTTCTACAAGTTATTCCTGTACAAAATGTCTACAAGAAACTAGTGATATAAACAGACATATCTTAGCTGAATGTGATACATATACACGTGAGCGGACACGCTTTACACATTCAATTGTTTAGAAATTTAGCTCTGAAGTTTGCAGCTATTTTTTATGAATTAACTCGGAAGCATTCTTGCGAGGACTCTTTGATTCCAATTTATTGGCTGTCTTTGGTATTAATCCAGAACACCAACCTATGTTGTAAATACGTTCACGACCTAACGATGGAATATAAAAAGTAATCTGTAGAACTTTCCAATAACATTCTCCATGAGAGGATGTTTATCTTAGACTTCTAAGGTTAAATGCAATATAATAAATCCATACTAAATGTTCCTATACATGACACTTATATTTCGTGTTTTCGATAAGTTATAAATGTAATCGGGAAAATATTTAGTAAAAGTGCATTAAAATATTCAGTAAATACCATTATGTCGAACATTGACAATATACCATGTGCTTATTAATAAGTTAACATTGTGTATGCATGTTGTTATAATTCTGTATAATGCTACTCTATATTTAATGTATGACATGTTTTTCGTGTATATAATCAATAATCGCATGTTATTATATTCTGTTCTCATGTAAATGTGTTAATTAATTGTTATATCAGTCACTGAAAAGTGGAATAAAAGA